ATATGTAAAAATCCTTTGGTCGAGTAAAAAAAGAATCAACTGAATAGAAAATGAATTCCTCTATCCTTTTGAGCCATAATAATGTGGCAAAAAGGAGAGAGAGAGAAATACGACAAAATAGGCAAAACATAGTAAAATTTATTATTATTATTATTATTACTATTATTATTATTATTATTAGTAGTAGTAGTAGTAGTAGTAGTAGTAGTGGTAGTAATAGTAGTATTAGTGGTGGTAGTAATATTGATGGCAGTTGGATAAAATGAAAAATGATTCATCAACTGAATATAGAAACAATTTTCTCACCACACACTACAAAATAACTGTAAGGCAGAAGTTAACTTTCAAGTTTGTCTTATTTAACAATATTTCACTGTTGTTAATTTAATTCGACATCATGCGCATAGATGCACACTATATAATACACATGAAAGTATAAGAAAACAGTCTACAAGAACATACAGCATTCATACGGAAATTGATATGTATGTACATACATATATGTATATAACTTTATTTATGTATGTGTGTATGTGTCTGAATATTCATGATCGTACTATTCTAATGTCCAAATCCCAAACAGACAATGAAGAATAAATGATTTGTACTTAATTTGTTCGACTATATAGACCTCAGGCAACACAAATTTTTATTATGTTGAAACATGTTCATATATACATATATATTATTTAAGTGTTTGTCTACAACTGATGGGACCTTTCTATATACACATCGAAAATAAAATGGTGTTTATTTATAAAAGTGTATGTATTAAAGAAATTAACAGTGAAAAGTTTATTTCTGCATGAATGCCTTTGATGATGTGTATTAGTTATTTTTATGGGTAGTTCAATTTCTTTATCTTTTTGTCAGTAGTTAATGGGATTATTAAGATATATATATATATATATATATATATATATATATATATATATATATATATATATATATATATATATATATATATATATAATGATGACAATGCTAGCCATGATAATCTAAAAAACATAAGAAATAATAACAGTTTTTATACACTGAGTAAGGTGAAAAAATTTTAATTGTACCATATGAAGAATTCAAATATACATATCACACTGCAACGAGTCATGCATGATATGACTATAACCATTAATTGTTTTTATTTAAAACTCATTTGTTATCTATTGTATTTGAGATAAGATTTAATGTGAAACGTTAAGTTTAGTTCGTAATAGCTACCAATTTTTTCGTCTAAAAGAGAGAGGATCATCGTAGTAACATTTAATCAGTATCATATACCAAACATAAGTAGAATGATTACAATTCAATTGTATTGTTAAATGGTTACATTCATATTCTAAATCAATACAAAGCTAACTTTCAAGGTTTTTCATAGAGTTCAATTGAACTTACCATATACTTTCTAAATTCATCTCTTACAAACAATAGAAACCTTAGAAATATGTATAAATAAACTTAATGTATGTTCACATAAAGGTTTATTCAGCCATTTAATTTACCACTGACCTTCTATATAATTGCGTCTAGGCTTCTCAAAATTTTGCTCAATTTTAATTTCTGATTCAATTCTGTTTTCACAAATAACACTAAAACTTGTGTATACTTACTCAATTTCAAACTTTATTCCCACTTTTATTCTTACGCAACCAGTAACAATAAAAAAAACAAAAAAATGTTTTGAATTTCTTTTGATTTGTGCCAATAGGTACTGGTCGATAAAGAGAACTTGGAGTCTTGAAGGAACCGGTGGTCCTTGTTAGATTTGAAGGTGTATCACTCAACTTTACAGCCAGAGACGTTACCACTGAGCTTTTCGGGCCTTCTTTGAGAAGATGTTTACATTGGCTGATTACTGAGTTTTAGTCTCACAGGAAGAACTATTTCCCTTAAGGTGACAGATACACGCTGACGATGAGTGCCATCTAGTAAGAAACATATTTCTAGTAGAATTTCCAACCAACAATTATAAATAATCTACTATCGAAAAATCATATACTGGGATTCATGTCACTTGGACTGATGGCCGAATTGAAGCCTGATCAACACAAATTAATCAACATCAAACATTATACAAGCATGAAATTGGTTTATATTCAGTGATCCATCCATGTACATATTTATTTCGTATAGTGTATAATGTAAATAAAATGGTAAATTATCTTGTCCACACGTGACTCACAGATAATAACAAAAATGACCATCAACAAACAATCTTCAGATCGTAGGAAGTCGATGAAATTTAGAATTTACAATTAATCCATTCCGTTTTCATGTAATCTGAATTGAAACATTAAGCTACTCAGTTTCACTAGAATAAAATCAAATTGGCCTTACAATTTACAGTCTTTCATGGAATAATTATAATTAAGGACGAAGTTGATCTGAAATATATGATGCATTTGCCTTAAAGATTTCGATAAATTTGATTACATTTCATAGATCATCTTTTTTGTCAAAATTTATAGATTGGATTAATTACTTTAAATTACAGTCAAGTTTTAAACAAGTAGTAGTCTGTAGTAATCTGCTATATTTTATATTGAGAATTTCCTAAATGTAACCAAATGTAAGATAATGATATGATTATTGAGATCATTAAAATCTTTTCTATTTCTCAAATAATCTTATACAAAAACTGTTTGAAATAATAATGATATGATTACTTAGTTGAGTGACTTCGTATATAAAATTTTCTTAAATATATTATTTAACATATGACTATACAACTCAGTCGAAATGTTACTCTAGTTACTTGTAGTTTCGATTGCCACACTATTCTAATTTCACTCTTGTATTATTCTTAATTGTTGTCTGTTACCGTCATCCATAAATTTAGGTGTATCCTATGTGCTTACTGAGTTGTCCGGTCATCTTTTTCTCCTCTTATACAAGTTTCCTCATACATACTAAATTGCACACTCCCATAACGCGTCACATATCTTCATGGTAGATGTGAACAGTTGTATATTTGTATTTCATCAGTTGATTTACTCTTAGGGCAGTTCCACCCTCCTGATCGAGTTGCGCATCACAGTCCACTTAAGCATTCATGATGAGTACGTTACCTGCAAACTATTCAGTTGGAATTCAGTAATATATAGTTTTAACATCGTTACATGATATGACAACAATCCATCCATAATAACAACGGTACTTTATAGTGAGGAATAATGTTTTTATTCTAATTAGCTGCATATGTTTCAATGATAAACTGACTGGAATATTTTTTGGCTCACTACGCAATTTATTACTAACTTGTAGACATTCAAACAGCAATAGTTTAGGTATTTTATAAAAGTGAGTAATAAAGTAAAGAAGTAAGTAAGTAAGTAGGTTATCAGTATCATATTGTTATATGATCTATGATTTTCAGTGGTACTCTTGATTATATTGGTTGTTCAAATCCTTCCTTTGATGTCATGATATTTAACGGATCAGTTTCTTTTAGCATATGTGCATCCAGTGCGGATTACTTGAATATTCCCATTAAGTCATAAGCATTTGGATAATATACAGATGTATTAAAAACAACGTATATATAGAATATTATATTAATTAATTATAATATGAAGTAAACTCTCATGTTTTAGTTACTTATTACAATTTTGTTTAATAACTCGTTACCATGTTAGCAAACCTCAACAAATTCATTTTATTATCACAATTATCCATCACTAAATGTATAGTTTATGATAGTACACTTCAACGACTATATGTAACTTAATGGAAAGAAAAAATAGTAATAATAAAACTAGTCATAATCATATTAATAATATAATATATAAAAATTTATTATTTTTTCTGATAAAAGAGAAACACAAAACAAATAATACACAATTAATCATAGTATATTTTTTGAATCAGTATGATCTCTATTCGAGTTAGGATTTATTTGAATAGTGAATAGTGTATGTACATGTGTGTGTGTATCTCTCTCTCTTTGTGTGTGTGTGTGAAGCAAATCAAAGTGAAAAAATATATTTCTAGTTACTAGTACTGAATATCTATTAGATATATATTTGTGTATATGTAGCAATTATAAAGCTAATATTTCATTTAATCTCCCTTCTTATAATAATTTTGATGTCTCAGTATAAACATAACTACAAATTATGTCTTTGTATAATAGTGGAATAAATTAAATTATATAGTTTTATCTATTTCATGGACAATAGTTAAACATACATGATTGTTTGTATGTATTACTGATTCGTAATTGTACTCTCATTAACAGTTTGGCTTTTAAAAAAAAGCAAAAACTTCCTGTCTGTGTTTATATATATTACACATTCATGTCATTTCGACCAAACAAATAATCTAGAGAGCAAGGCAACAAAATAAAAATTCTGTTTATTACTATAATCTATTGTGATAATACAAAGAAAAATAATTCTTATCTAAACTATATAACGTTAGATAAACAGTGCCTATTTGATGATTTTTCTCTAAGTAAAAATAATTTTGTAGGTCATTGGAAAATCAGCTCAGTTAGTTAAATGGGAGTATTAAGCACCTGTCGACATTCATATAAAGTAGTAATTCATTTAGATGATCAATTAAGACATACATATACATGTATATAAATAGACACGTGTATATATGTATTCATACAAACAAACAAACAATATGATATTTCATGAAGTTAAAATAACACTACTTTACATGCATCATCTTTTAGTAAAAATTGAAGGAGACGAATAAGTCTACTAGTAAAATTAGAAAAACAAAATATTGAAACCCTAGATTTTGACTCAATCACTTATAGACATAAAATATGGTGATAGAATAATAGTAATAATAATACGTTAAATTAAATGAAAAAAGTATAGAACACAATTTTGGATTGGTTCCCAGCATTATTTGTTTTCAGTAAGTCCTAATTCTACTGTGCCCACCTTTAGTATGTCTATATATATATATATATATATATATATATATATATATATATGCGTTAGAATTAAGGATACAAAAACATTAATTCATTTCAAATCATTTTGAGAATGGTCTTTCGAATTGAAGGTAAGTTAAAATTAGATTATTTAATTTGGTTATATAATAAACTAAACCACATACTGAAGTGAAGATTATGATTTTTTGAATGACAGAATATAAATGCAAATAAAAAGTACAGTTATATTCTGCTTAACTTTAGATAATAAGACCTATTGTTTAAACATAAATTGGTTTGATATTTGTCATTGATTACTATAGGTATCATTACCAACATTTGATTTGATAATTTCGAATAAATTCAGCAATGCGTAGATTGTTATAAATAAATAACATATTTGTAATATCTCAATGAGTAAAAAAAACTTAGATTTTCTGACGTATCGTGACTTAGTGTAAGTGCTATTTAAACTTGGATTAGTTTTACTTTGGTTATTTATTCTCTGAAGAAGTGACTTACACTAAGTCACGAAACGTCAGAAAATCTAATTTGTTTACTCATTGAGATATTACGAATATGTTATTTATTTATAACAATCTACCCAATGCTGAATTTATTTGAAATTATCCAATCAAATCTTGGTAATGATACCTACAATATGTCAAATTGTTTACTTTAGTAGACAGATTTTATATTTGATCCATTAAATTGTGCCGAAAGAAAATAATTAATATAACATATTACGAAATCAAAATTGATTTTCTTATAATAATCTCTTATTCCAATTATTCTCGGTTACAAATTATAAAAGAAACGTTTTAATGACTAGTTATAATAAATATATAATTCAGAATATTATTTGGAATTTTAATTCGTGGATTGGTTGAAGTTAGACATTAACACTGTTGAATGCCGGTCAGCTCAGTGGTATAGTGGTTAACTGTTCGCGCACGAGACTGATAGGTCCTGGTTTCGAATTTCTGGAAGCGAGATCGTGGATGCACACTGCTAAGGAGTCCCATAATAGGACGAAACGGCCGTCCAGTGATTCTAGGTTTTCCATGGTGGTCTAGGTTCAATTGACTAATGATTTTAACTGTTGGAATTTTAAAATGCTAAATATTATATTCATTATATCTGTACTTAATAAGAATAGCTTTTGGTTCGGATATGCTCTAAATTTACTGAATGAGAAATAAGAAAGCAATATTAATATACTGATAAATCCAAAAAATAAACAATATGTTGATTTAAAACACTTAGTCCCTTTGATAAATTTCGATAATCCAATGAGAAGACAAAGTTTATCAGAGTTTTAGGTGAACACATACCAAAATGACTGCAGAAACGAATGAATTACAATGGTCAAATAAGATCACAGGATTGACAGATATCATTCTCCATTGCGAAACATTTGATTGAGACTGGTCATAAGGTTGACATCAAATCAGCATTTTTGGTGTTTTACAAAAGCCTACAAGATGTATACTAAGGTTTATCGATGCCTTGGCTATATGGAAATTGAACCCCCCGTTTACACTTAACCTACCCTGGTAATACTGATTTATTATCTAGAGTGGTAATCACATTGCTTTTGTGTACTTTAATGTTATTTTTTTCTTTGTTACGACTTACCTTTAATCTGTCTAGTTGACCTTTTAATTTTCGTATGAAAATGTTTCAACAAGTATAGGTGTGTGATCAGATAGTTCGAAATGTATTGCGCAAATAAATCACATAATTCAGATAAACTTCGTTTTCTTATTGTATTATCGAAATTTATCAAAGGGACTAAGTGTTCTAAATATTTTCACTCGACAAACGTTTTACAAATAATGAATCGCTTGACTGAATCATCGTTTATTTGCTGAAGTGATCTTTACAATGAATCAGTCAGTAGAATAATAAAGAAAATCACTCAGTTGAAAGGAAATTTCCTCTCTAGATATAATAGAACAAAGTGACTTAATAAATAGTGTTTGTATATGTCATATGTGGTAAAAAAAACAACCCACAATGACTTCAATGGTAATCATTTCCATCTAAACAACTAAACAAAATAAACCCAAACTAGTACAATCTCGAAAATATAAGAAATTTCTGTTCAATAATACAAAATACAGCAGTAAACAAATAGCGCTAAATGTAATTATAACATGATGATATCAAAAGAACTTCTTACTATACCTAACATCGATTTAAACTAAGTTGATAGAAATTCCAGGCGGCCTATTTGAATATCTGGGCTATCTGTTACTGTTACCTGGACGTTTCAACAAGTTATCTGTTTTCTTGTTTAATTTAATACATCATTATGCCCATTGATCGCATAACCTATTCAAGAGCGTTTGTGGCAAGTTGACGACATTTCACTGTACAAGTTACAAAACAGTCCAATAAAATACACCGTGGTTTCTGGCAATATGCATCGAAACAAGTGTTTATTATTCAGATATCGATTCCAGAACTGTTAACATCCAACTGGTGAGCACTCAATATTTATCTCAAGGATCGATCAAGAAATAAGAAAAAGAAATCTGTTGAAATACATTATGCTGTGAATTCTATATTGTACCAAAAATATGATATTGAACAAAGCCAATAATTATAATAAACTCAAATCGGTAACATCGTGATCAGCTACCACTAGCATGATTGTGTACAAAATTGCTGATTCTTTTGAAGTACCAATCTGGACTCTGATCATGCTCTTGTTTGCGTCAATCTTACCTTACATTTTAGTGGCTAACAAATTCATCGTCTTAAATAGATCAATGTCAGTAAATTGATTGCAGCTTCTGTTGCAACTAAATATCAAACCGAGCTAAGTAATAATAATAATAATAATAAACAGTTCGCATTTTAAGAAAGAAAAAAGGAAAAAAGGAGAAAAAGAAAACAGCATATTAAGAAAAATACGTTTCTTTTTTTTAAATTTCTTTTAATTCATTTCAAACTATTTATTAATTCATTTATTTCATTTTTTTTTTTTAAATTTCTAGTAAATCTTGGTAATGGATTCCTTCTATTTAAAACAATGAAACGTAAATTTCATCATATACAATCAGTTAATAAATTTAATATAAATAAAACAAAACATATGAGATATTGTCAAAAATATTGTACATATTGTAGTCCTGAACGATATACTATATTAATACATAATGAAAATTTAAATCAAATTCATTATACAATGTGTCCATATGATGAATTATTAATTATGGCTAAATCAATTTGTACAAATTTAATGCAAGATAATAATAATAATAATCAGAACGATAATAATAATAATAATAATAGTATAACAATTTTAGTTTTATCGTAAGTTTTAAATTTGTTTACCAATATGAAATTTATTTGTTTAATGATCCTCAACTTATTCAAAGACTAATATTTTAACGAAGGATAATCTTGTCGATAAATTCTCTTCAAGTTCTACAATATATATACCTAAATTAATAATTTAAAAAGTGGTTAGGTTAAGGATAAAGTATATCATTTAAAGTTAAAGCATGTAAATTTAGGATTTCAATAGTTGAAATCATAAATCTTGTGGGGTAGGGCGAGATCATGGATGCGTACTGTTGAGGAGTCCCATACTAGGATGAAACGGCCATCTAGTGTTTTCAGGTTTTCCATGGTGGTCTAGGTTCAATTGACTCATGGTTTCAACCATTGAAATTATTAAAATCTCTACAAAACCCCTTCTGAGAATTTAGGATTGTCAAACAAAATAAACAAAATAGAATAAAATTTTTAATGTTGACATGACCCATATGAAATGTCAACTTAAATTAACTGATTTACTAAGTGGAAATTTAAGATCCATGATCAGAATAAATATGGTTTAGATAGAGTGAGAGAAAAAATAGTGCAATCACAATTCGATCAAATGTTTAGTGGAACACTATATTGTGTGAAAAATGATTAGTAAGATATAATAAGGTGAGATGAATGACAAGTAAATGAATCATGTATTAGAGAGATTAATAATGATGTTTAACCAACAGTAATAATGATAGTAATAATGAATTCAATGGTTGAGATCATGATTCAATTGAAGTTATTCCACCATGGAAAACCTGGAAGCACTCGACGGCCGTTTCGTCCTATTATGGGACTCCTTAGCAGTGTGCATCCACGATCTCGCTTCCAGAAATTCGAAACCAGGACCTATCAGTCTCGTGCGCGAACAGTTAACCACTATACCACTGAGCTGACCGGCATTCAACAGTGTTAATGTCTAACTTCAACCAATGCATGAAATTGAGCAACATATCCACGATTGTCTTCAGTGAGTTACTGTCTCATAACAGACCCCATTGAACTCCACTGGTCACTGCTTCTCACTAGATAAACCCCAGGAAATCCCTCTTAAAGCATAATGGTAATAATAATAAAAGATTTGTCAATAAAGATAACAGAGACAATTACATTTGACTACGAAAGGTCGGATTATTTATTTAATTGTAAAACCTGAAGGAATTTATCGAAAAGAATATTCTTTAATCAAATATTAGTCTTGAAACTTCTTTGTTATTTTTCCGATAAACCTACATTATGTTAAATGCTTTACTATCAAACTAAGTATTCCGAATATTGCAATTTTATAATGACTGAGAATATTTTGACTAAACTGGTTAACTTTGTTGACCAACATGTTGAGATTTAGAGATAGTTGGAAGTTGACTAACTGATAGTCTCTTTTAAGTTGTTAGCGAAGAGTTTAATAAATGTATTTATTTACTTAAACATTTGTCATGAGGTCAATCCATACTATTTCTGTTCACAGTTTAAAGGTTCGAAATAATTATGTGTAAAAAGAAAATCGTTTAAAGTTTGATAATTTACTTGGAATGATTTGAATGGAAAACAAAAGAAAAACCAATGTATGACGTTGTTTCATTCAGAGTTAAAAGCAATCTATACCTCATTGTTTAAATGATCTATACCTATTTCTCATCGCTGAAGAAAGAAGAAAAGCATTTAGTGAACAATTCGCACGTATTGATTTATAGGTTCTAATATATTTATGCTTTTCCTACTGTATAGTGTATGTGTCAGTGGGTATTTTCTGAACAGAAAATATATTCCATATAAATTCTTAGAGCTTCGCCAGTCTTTTAGCTCTAATATAGAAAATATTATATTTGATTTTTAATTTATTGACTATATAGGTATTACATTAAAGAAGCACATGGTATACAAATGAAATTTATAATTTTTCTTGGGGAGACATATAACCATGTTCATAGTTTATTAGTTTAATAAAATTAAATGTTTTGTTGCGACAGTGATTTGGCTGAGGATATATTTCGTGAATGGTATAAGCAATAAAGAAATATACTTGTAGCATTGAATTATCTGTTTTTGGAATTTTAATTACATGACAAGAGATCGGTTTGTTTGTGTACGAAGTTATAACCATTTCATTTATGACAACAATATGTTTAGACATTTTCAAAGTTTGGAAAATAACAGTAATTCTGTTTCAATTTAGTCGCAAGTGTTTGTATCGTCCTGTTGTTGGTTTGAAGAAGTGGAACTGATAGGTATTTTTGGTATATGTTTATTCTGAACATATTGCTTCCATAATGCTACCAGTCATTAAAATAATTAAATAGAGATGGATATTGACTAACAGTGTTGAGGCAATCCGTTTAGCGTGCACATACTCCTTAAGAAATTGATCATTGTGGTTCTCAACACTCACGAAACAGCAATTCAAACCGTCACAATTAGACCACAACCCATTTAAAAAACCTGTGACTAACTGTACTTAGTAGTTAAGTGGGTAGAGTGTCGGCGTTTCAAGTAAGAGACGTTGGATTCAGGTCCCGAAGTTAATATCAGGACTGATACAGGTATCTCCAGTTGAAAGGTCCCAAATAGGACAAAAGATGAGCCCTGAATTCCACCGCCAGCCATTGTCCATTTCCGCTTGATAATACCACTTGTTAATTAATTCAATTTGTTTTGTTGATACCAGTACTAATTGTTAGATAATACTAAGCTCTAACTATTAATTTATGGTCAAGGAAAAATAACATAAAAGTATTCATCGTATGATTTCTGATGAAAAATTGTAAGTAGTCAAGTGAAACAGAAATCTCCAATGATATTATGTAATAATCATATAATCTCTCGAATAAAATGAATTTGGAAATATGAACCAATCGATTACAGATGATGAATCTATGATTTGTCGAGTTGGACATGAGGTCTGAATTTTCTAGAATTTGTATAAAGGTAGATCATGAGTGTTAACTACTTAGGAATCTCAAACTGAAAGGAAATAACCATCCAGTACTCGCTGGTTTTAAATAGTTATCTAGCTGATATCAGCCTTTGACTAATGCTATCTCCAAAAACTTATCACTTGAAATCACTTAGAGTGTTATATTACAAGCATATTTAGTAAACTTATAAAAAAACTTAGCATACTACTTCAATTATTTCTTTATTTTACAGGATAACTTGTGGTAAACTTTCCAACTTTACAAGATACAATCCTGTTCTTATCAATCGAAACATCAACACTAGTACCAATAAAAACATAAACAACACTACTACTCCTACTAATATAAGTAGTACAAGTCATACAAAATCATCAAATCCCCTAAACACAACAATCTCTATAAATATTCAAACTATTAGTAAGACGATTCAACGAGCTAAACTGGAAAAAGTTGATTATAAGCAATCCAGAACAAAATCTAAATGGGGAATTATTAATTTATCCACGTGTAATAATATACATTCCGATATTTTGATTGATCTAAATACTTCAGTGAATAGCATGAACGATGGAAAAAAGAATATTTGTTACACTTATGATAATCATTATCATTACTATTGTTGTTATTATTACTATTACTATTATTGTTATCATTATCACTATTATTCATATCAAAAATCACCTTTGTTTACATCGTTATGGTCTGAACATATCTTGAATAGTGAAAGTAAAGATATTCAGCTGGTAAGTAAAGAAATAATTTTTCTTCATTTAAAATTTAGTTAGAGAGTTTACAAAAAAATCTTATCCAGTTTCTGTTAAAATAGTTTTCATTGAAACTAATAACAGCGGCAAAATGACGAGAAAATCATCTAATGTTAGGAAAATTCAATTATATGGTAGAAAATAGTGAACTATCGGGAATGAAATAGAAAATCTAATTAAAAAACGTATAGTTCAATAAATAACTTAATCTCAGTCTGACTATTCAAAAGCTTCCTTCAGTACAACTTAATGATCCGCTAAAGAATAAAACAACGATTATTTTTAAAGTAAATTCATCATAATTTCGTGAACAATTTGCTTTTCTTGCGTAACATGTTTCAGTATAATCCTTGATTTCATTAATTCTAGACAGTGGTACGAAAGTAATACAGATCAGATACACTAATAATACGATAGGAATTTAATTCCAGTGTCTATCTTCATTAAGAATTTGTTTTTCTGAACAATTCTTTCACACATTATTGTACTGGGTATTTATGTTAAGGGACATGAAAGTTCATACTGAAGAGAATTTATTTCGTGACCTTGTTTGGATTGAAATGTTGTTGAAATCATCAGTAAATTTTAAAACAAATTTTTGGACATTAAATATTGCATAAAATTAATTTTTATAGCTTAACGGACAAGTTTATACTGAGTTTTATTTATATAAATGAAAAGCAAATAATTCGTTAGAGTATTTGTATTACTCACTGAATTTAAGTAGGCAAAACTTTTATACCAAACATAAAATTTTAAGAATGGGAAGTAAGATGAAATCTATGTATTTTAGGACTTAAGCGGTACCCCAAACGTAAATCAATCTGAAAAGATTAACACTACAAAGGTGACGCAAACCTTGCATGTTTCATAGGTAGATATAAAAAGCCCATCAAGCTGAGATAAGAATTTGAAAAAATAAGTACAGCAAACTGATAAAATATTTGAATTTGATCAAAATCATTGTCAAGATGACATGAAGGTAAAAAATGACACATTGCAGTTACCAACACCGAATAAAGTGGTTGAAACTTGCTATTCCTTCTCATTCATCCAACTGGATATAAAATTGCCTTACTGTAGATGAGTTTAGCATGCAAATAGAGATTAGGTCAAGACAATGGACCAAATAATTCGCTATTTATCTAAGCTGTGTTAGGAGGTTATAACTTTTTGATTAATGTCTCTGAGATACTCGTAATCTATGACAGAAGAAATTAGTTGATGTATCTCAAAAACTGTAGCAGCAGCGAAGATTCATTCATAACTTATCTCTTCTAAATTTAGAGTTTTAATACAATTTTATACTTTCGTTTCCCTGCTTCATTCAACACTTTTAAGTGCATAGATTTTCATAACATTTGATGATATTACGTCTAATCCTTTTGTTCTTATCTCTGTAATTTCATCAAACTGTGATAATATGACATGTGGTAAATCGAATCCATACATATTTATGTAAACTACTTTATTGCTCGTAGTTGGCAAACACTAATCTAACTATCGACCTCTAGTACACACAGATCTCCAATCTAAACTGATCTTTGGTAGTAATCATTTCAGATAAATAGACTAGAACAACCTTGGAAAATATTACTCTGATGGTATGATAGTGATATTACCAATATTTACTTTAAGTAGATTTTGACGTCAATTTGCAATTTGATCAATAAAATCGATCAGCGCTAATAAGAATTTGACATACATGACATTTGGTCACTATCCAGTAATCAGTCCATTGTAAGAGACCATGTTTGTTATTTATTAATGTTTATTAGACATAAGATTTCCATATTATTTATTTGTTAACATTCTATTTAATTGTTTGGGATTAATTAAGAGTATTTCTACGTAATGCATCAATTAAACACTAAATTTACATATGCTCTAAAAACCATTACAATCAACATCATTGTTTAGTTAATCTTGTTTAATGTCCTAACTATTTCCCATGTTTCATGTGATCAACATTCCTATGTAACCTAACAAAATAGTTTATATCGTACTTCTGGGCATTTCACATCAATGACTATAAATCTTCATCATATGATATGTTAGTCATAGGTTACTAAAGAAATTACACGTAAATACTTTCTTAATGCACAAAATGTAATGTAAGTTATACGTGGTATTTATAAATATAGGCCAAATGTAATTCTTATAACAATATCCAACTTAGTGTATTATAAATTATTGATGAGTAATGCACCAACTAATTCTGTGTTTTAGTTTTCAAATAAAGAGATTTTGATATCAGTCAAGCGATAATCATCCATAGGTTTCTCTTAAAGGGTGACATTTACAGTATTATATATGTGTACACAAATCTGGATAGCTATAATTTAAGAATATTATTATTCTAAATAAATATCATACTGACCTGGTTCGATATTCTTAAATTCATTATTCATTAGACTAATTAGTACGAGAAAGTGTTGGACATTTGACTGTACATTTTATTGAAATGAGAAGTAGACAAACAAAAAAAACTACTATGCAATTATTGACTTTTAATTCTATAAGCAGCATACATAGTAAAACAAATTTTGTCTATTATTTTTCACAAAATAATTTCAAGTTTAACAGGATAAGCTACTTGTAACTAGTTAGATTTAGTTAGCTACCAAAACAAAAAATACGATAGTTTTGTAAATAAATTTGGCATTGGTTATTGATAGATTTCAGGATTTTTTTTAATGATTTTGTATTATTATTGAGTTTAAATAACTTTTATGTTATGAATCAACTTGTAATTTCAATAGTTGAGATCATGAGTCAATTGAAGTTAGACCATCACGGAAAACCTAAAAACACTGGACGGTCGCTTCGTCCTATTGTGGGACTCCTTAGTAGTGCGCGTCCATGACCCCGTCTCGCGGGATTCAAACCCAGGACCTAATGGTCTGGCGCGTGAGCACTTAACCACTAGACCACAATAGGATGAAGCAACCGTTCAGTGCTTCCAGATTTTCCATGGTGGTCTAGCTTCAATTGACTCATGATTTCAACCATTGAAATTACTAAAATCTCCACAAAACCTCTTCTGACACGAATCAACTTGTACTAACAATATTTGACTTATAGAAAGTTTATTTTACCAATGTGATATTATTTGATGTACTTATCTGAGTAGAAAAGAGACTTGAATAGGATGTTACAAATGGTTGATTAAGATGGTTACGTAGTTATAATTATTATATGCAATCAAATTCTGAATGAATGTCAAAAAAAAAAAAATACAAACCAACAACAAGTAAACAGAGACTGATTGATTTCGATAGAACAACGAGAGGATGGATTTGCTCTGAAAAATGTGATATATATGCGCCATAAATTTCGAACAATCTGATCAAACATATAAATGTCAAGGAAATTCCTATGAAAATTAATAAAGGTCAATTCTAAATGAAAGTTCGGGTGAATGAAATGATAACTCTTAATAAAAGAGTAAGAAAATTAACTTAGTATGGAAAGAATAAGAAATTGTCTCACTACTCTAGGCTATAAAACGGCTCAAAGATTACCAGGGTTAATTCATAGTTACGATAAACTATTTCCGTACAGATAAATGGGGTTTGAATTTTCGGATAACCATGGTTAATATAAGCTTAAGAATTCGTCATTGGCGTTTCCTATACAATGTTTTAGAGGCTGTATTGATGTCATTTCAATGTTCTGTTTATATGTATACGTACGAACAGATTATTTGAAATGTAAAGCGCAAATACATCACATTTCTCAGATCAAATCCGTCTTTTCATTTCTCGATCAAACTTTATAAAAAGGACTAATTGCTCTAAACTGATTGATTATTAAATTAACCTATCAATCACTAATATAGAATATTCAACAAATAAAAGTCAATAAGATTTCATACACATAAAAGGTGCATTTTTAATTTGGATTAAGTCATCATTATATTTAACGATATATTTATCTTTAATAAGTTGATTGAATGATGAAATAAACGGTACTAGATTGTTAAATAAATCAACTTTTAAGAGTACTAAATGTTCACTCAGTTATCATTTAGAGTCGATTTAGAAAGTTATGACATTCTATGTTAAACGTTATATTTATGTATATGTTAGTACTTTTTCATAAAGTAGATGGTTGATGAGAAAATTATCACACTAACCTACAGAGAGTAGCAAGAGAGTATACTTATTGTATTTATTAATTCATCATCAATTCTGAAAACATATAAGGGTTTTCAATTATAGTCACTAATCACATGTACGTAGAGTAACATGTTAAAAACAAGCAATTATTGATTTGCACAGTTTAAAGAATAAAATAGGAATAGTTTTTCAATTGTGAGATAATTAAATGGTGTTAAGTAAACACATTACTAGATAATGTTGTTCCCAGAAAAATTGAGTTAATCATTATTATTAATTTCATCTTACTGAATACATCAGTTAACCAAACGATGAAATTTCTACGCCTGTTGACTAGATAATAACAACTGAATAAAGTATTAAAAATACATTGAAGAGACTGTGGTGTGGGTTACTTATATCCACACAAATACTAAATAAAGGTGGTCAGGCATAGAATGTATTTTAGTAGAAGGTCGATGAGGAAAAAACTGGGACGAAACGCAATTGGTATGAAAATGTATGAACAATAAAATCTGAGACAATGGATTGATGTTTGTAATAGGAACAGTCAAGTTTGATATGATGGATTGATATTTTGCAAATTAACTGTTTACTATATGGATCTCAGATTTTATTGAGATGTGTAATTTCGTGTCAACTACATTCAACTGTTCTTACTCGATGCTATTGTTCACTACAAAACAACTTCCTGAAATCTTAAAAATGTGAGATTACGTGCAAAGCAAATTATTGTAGGAAACAGTTCATTGAAGAGAGTTGGTATTTTGAAAAGTTGATGTATCCAGTAAGTTTGTTTTTCAGTTCAATTATGAACTGATTAAACTATTTGCATTTATTTTAAATATACACATAGTGAAAGCTTTTATAGACTTGAGCTATATACACGCTAGCAACTATTAGCAGTTAATAATATATAATTTTTAATTAAGTGAATCAGTTTACAACAATCAAGATATGATGTACTATTGATCCCAAACATTAGTATCATATACAACAAAAAAAGAATATATTTTACATTAGAGACTAATTTACTTAGACAGCTATTGAGAAATCGAAAGCACTGGATGCCTATTCTATTCTAGTGTGGGACTCCTCACATTTCTGCACTCATGAGCTTTCCAGGAATTGAACTTTAAATTTTCAGATAGCTGAGTTAGTACCCAAGTGTTCATATCTTCAAACTCAGTCAGTGCTAGATATCGTGAGACTACCATCCATTATTATTTATAGTACTAGACCCAGTCCCAAGAATATTTCTTATGATAGGTTATTACTTTTTTCGATTTGTTTCTTATTTTAGGGTCCAAAAACACCTAATATTAATTGTGACGCTTATACTCAAAAATTTAATATCACTCAAAACTCTAATGAAAAGCACACTGGTAATATGGAGAAAATATTCATAGAAAACGAAACAGACAATGTAAGTTAATATTATTCTTGTATTATAAAACAATATTTAAGTGGCTAAGATACTTTTGACCATTAGGTCCCCATTTGATTGTTTATTTTTGAAAAGGTGACTAGTATCATTAATTCTTAGGCATAACACGTAACTCAAAATCAAGTATCTAGACTTGCCCTTGGTTACTAAGTTGAATCAATTAAATGAATTAAATTTTATAAATCAATAGAATTTTTGCCAACAAATTATGATACAATTTTGCCTACCATTAAATATGTTATGATAATATTACTGAATTTATAAACGTGAATACTTCCTATGTGATAAGCGAAATAATGTAAGATTAAGTTTTTCAATTTCCACTTTTTACATGAATTTCTAAGAAAATGATCAACATTTTATTATTGACTTCACTATCAATTCATTTAAGACGTTACCTTGTGAATGGTTAATAATAATAATAATAATAATAATAATAAAATTTATGCATTTGAAGTTCATGCAGTCAACAAAGAGATGATGATCAAGTTTTGAATTATATCATAATCACATTCTACTGGAATATGTTTGTTAATGATTACTTTTCTCTAGATATGTAATTATTTTTTAAGATCTACTATTCTATATTCAAGTACGATTCTATAATCGAACAAAGTGGCAATAATGATAATCATTCAAGTATATGGAAAATAAAATTCTTCAGAGCGTTATTATTAGATTGTTGCAATTAGTATTGCTACAAACCTGTGTGATTAATCCTAATCTTTGTAAAGATTAAAATAATTCATCTTTTCAAATGTCAGGTTAAATCACATAGGTACGTAACAATAGTAATTGGTACAAGATAACGAAACATTAGAAACTTTATAAAAAGTTCATAAGAAGAATCAGAACATTCTTTATTAACCTGTCAACCCACTCATATAAAATTAGTGTAAGGTCAAATTTATGAAACAATGAGTAGCTGAATAGGCTCGCTAAGATAACTAAGTTGTAAAAACTTGAATTATGACTGTTGTGAGATAGTAACTCACTGAAGACAATGGTGAGTGGTGGCTCAATTTTGCGGATTGGTTGAAGTTAAACATCAACACAGCTGGACACCGGCTCAGTGGTCTAATAGTTAAGCGCTCGCGGGCGAGACCGAGGGTTCCGGGCCCGAGTCCCGCGAGCGGGGTTGTGGATGCCCACTGCTGAGTAATCTTATAGTAGGACGAATCAACCGTCCAGTACTTCCAGGTTTCCCATGATGGTCTAGCTTTAATTGAATCATGAATCCAACTATTAACCCCTTTCTGTAAAATTTGTCTTATGCACTTAATTTAAAAGAAATTTTATCTGGTATCATGCATGTGACCAAAAAATAAAATGAAATAAAATAACAATCATAAATATCGAACGAAATAAACTGCAACGTATTGATTATTTAGTTCATTTTCTCATTAGAGCAAAGTCCAATGTCAACCTAAATCTGAACTGACTTATCGCCTTTTTTGGAACATGAGTTTGTATGTGATAAAATAAAATTAGATTTGATAGTTATTTGATTATTCTGTTGCGAGACATGAAGGTCCTAGTTTCGATCTCCGGTGGGATCGTGAATGTGCATAATTGAGTTCTATAATAGTTCTCAAGGGCTTCCTGTTTTTTAATGCTTGTCGAAATTAGGTTGGTTTGTGAATTTAATAACTTTCACTAGTCTCTACGATCTTCTGTACTGATATCTAATTAAGTTTACAAGAAATGGTAAACTACTATAAGATTGGTACAATAGAAAGATAAGTTCTGATACAACTCAAAATAATCTTTAGAAATATCTATCCAGTTGATCTACACATTATCAATGTACTTTTACTCTTTTTGGTGATAACGAGCAGATGAGTCAAAGCTTAATCATGTTCAATCACTCCCTATTATTTACTGCATCAATCAATATAAATTCGTATATATTTAAAGTGTTAAATTTTTACTGTAATCACCTGACAAGGAATGAATGTGAAATCGTGATGGAATTGTGAGTTTGATCTACAATGTGAATATTTTTTTAGAAAAAAAAAAGAGTAAAACTAAGATTTGATAGGTGATATACAGTTTGAATAGAAGTAACATAACATTTTGACGTTTCCATCGAATTATTTAGATATAGTTGGGTATTTTTATGTATTATGAAAGATGTATAGTTACTAAGATGTTCATAATTAGCGAATTAATTCGATGTAATTATTTTCCAAAATTGTAATGTGATTATCAGTCAGGTTTTATACTATAATTTGCTTGACCACTAGATCGATAACACTAGTAGGAACCATGTTATGGTCACTTTATCTTTGCATTAACGTTCTTAACGTCAGCACTAACCTACCAACCAAGGTTATCTTATTTGAAGATATAAACCAGATTTACACCAATTGGAAACACACTTCTTTCTCTTATTATACCATCACCAAATCTAGTAGCTGATAAAGTTGATAATTTTAATTGCTATCAGAAATCGGGTTTTTGTGGAGATTGTAGTAATTTAATAGTCGAGTTTATGAGTCAATTGATTCATGAATTCAACCATTAAATTTTAACTGTAACTAAGTAAAAAGGTGAAGGTCAATCTACTGCTCAATAATAGTCACTAGTTAATATGTAGGACAATTATATGTCGACACTCCATATGCTTTTCGATGACTACATAATTTCACTAAGATCAGACCATCTGGAATATCTATGCATTTTCGATGATATATTTTCGATCTCAGTTGGATTTTAAGTCAACTTTACGTAGAGAACTTGATGTAATGTCGGATATCTGGAAGGAATTCTTGTCAATGAGAATATTAACATATTAATCACAAGTACACCTAGAAGAACCTGGCTTTTTACTTAAAAACAATCAAATATTGTTCTTTCACTTAGAATTATACTCTTTCAAGATCTCGTATTAGGAACGTTAACCTAGTTCTCTGAAACTTGAACTTTAAGCATCCAAACTCTATCGCAAGTTGTGTGAAGTCGATAGTTTTATGCTTAGAATAATTAGGCTAGATATCTTGTGCAATCTTCCGCAATAATTTTCACCTACACACTTCGGTTTGATAAATATCTTACTCGAAATTAACGAATCTTAATTATACATTCTTCATTTTGAATTGATATAAATGCTGAGATAATTTCATACCTACCGTTCGGTTTATAACTTAATCACAGTTGAACGACACGTCTTGTGTGAGTATATATGGACCGGGGTTTGAATTTGGAACCCAGCGACTGGAAGCTAAATATTTTAATCACTAAGCCATTGCTCATTTAAATGAAAAGCACCATCAACTGGATAATCTAAGAACACATAATATCATACAAAAACTTACCGTGAATTTTGTTGAAATCTTGGGAAAGTTGAATAAATCTTATATATTTATTGCGATAAAATGACATGAAAGTTTGTGTTTCTTTTTTAAATAATAGGAAGTAATGCGATATATGTCTAAGTTTGATTTGATCAAAAATTGTGCTCATATAAGATCCGAAAACCACAAACCAAACAGACTGGTAAGTTCTAATGATTATATATATATATATATATATATATATATATATATATATATATATATATATATATATATATATACTTATTTTTAAAAAATGAAATATTTGTTATTTGTGATTTTAGAAAGATCTAAAGTTATCAGTTAATTTACGTCCGCCAGAACCTGTTGGTTGTCAACTACTACAAATGAATTCAGCACCTGGTAAGTTTAGCATTATTCATAGCTCTATTAAAGGGATTCTAGACATAAAAATAAGACATTATTGAGGAACTACTTCCGAGATAGTTGTCATCGTGAAAGTTAAAAATCAAGTATACTGGTCAGCTGTTTTGTTTGAGTTGAGATTGTTGAATAATTCGTTTCTTTGTTTTTCACTCGGCATGTTATGGATTAAGAAAAGTAGAAAATTTAATGACGGCGGTTTGGGATGCCATATGATTTTACTTGTTCAAGTATAGAGTAAATAATTAAACATAACTAAACTTATTATGCATTTCATGATGTAAACATTGTAAAACTATTAGACCTAGTAAGACAGTATATATACAAACCACATAGTTCAAGTTTTTGCAGTCAGTATTCATTAGGAATAACTGGTAAAAGAATTTACAAAGAGGAACGATTGTGTATCATAAGATTAAAAGTAACTGAATAGTGATTTACCATAAATCAAAAAATGACAGCCCTCAAATACCCTGGTATGGCCGAGGGTCGGAAGAGTCTGTTTACCCTGTCGAAATGCTCTCATATGGCCACGTGTATACAGCCATTCCTAAAGAATTTCTACTCAATTCCTTCTTGTGGTGTGTTGTTTACGAAACTGAGAAAAATAAAAGCGAATATCCGGCGCTTTACCCGGGTTGGTGGACACAGAGGGTCCACCTAGGAGGGTTGGAAAACCCTGATTTCAAACTAGTAGTGCACATGGGCTCCAGGATTTTGAGAGAATAAAAGGTGTATGAACCAACTGTTGGTCACCAGCTACCATGGGAGTGAATTTCCTTACGTCGCTCCACTGCCTTGTGGATTAGACCCTTAGGTCAGAGGACCGAGAAGTGGGCCCCCTAAGAAAACAACCTGCTTCGGTTTGGGCTTCCGAACAGCATCACAGCACTCACACAAATCGAATGGTTTGTGTGGCGCATATATATTTGGTGCCTCCTTGTACCAATGTTTATGTGTGACTGACAAAATCTGGTTTATTACAGAACTACTCGGGAAAGAGACATGAAAACAATTGGTAGCAAGAGTTACTCAACTCTCGTTTGTTGTCCTCTAAAACCAATGACAGGTACATCACTGAAATAAGTTTTATCTGTCTAACTGCTATGGTTACAAGAATCCATCTTCTTAGCCGGAGATAATGATCATAAACTATACCAGTAATAGATTGTCTTCTCCACTTAGCACTTTCAATCTAGTATGATGACCTAAAATAATAGGATGTATTCCTAGTTTTGCCACTTAGATTAGACTGTCTACTTATAGTCTTTATTTACAAACATTAAAATGAATATAAAATTACAGATCTTGTAAATAAACTTAGTAAATGTATACCTTTCATGAAGTATGGAGGGACTAGTTGTCTACCTTTTCACACACTTCGTGAAACAGTTGTTTGACAAAATAATAGCGTATTGTAAATTCAGTAACAGCTCAGTGCTTACTTACGCCTGTTACTACTTTTGGAGGAGCATAGGACTCACACCAGCATTCTCCATCCAACTCTGTCCTGGGCAATCCTTTCCAGGTCCTATTCATCCTTTTGACGTCTACTTCCGATTCTCAGCGCAGTATGTTTTCTGGTCGTTATTTTTCCGTTTCCCTTCAGGATTCAAAGTTAGTGCTTGCCTTGTGATGCTGCTTGGCGATTTCCGAAATGTGTGTTCTATCCACTCTCAGCGTCTTTTCCTTATTTCTTCTTCAACTGGAGTCTGATTCGTCCTCTCTCACGGTGGGCTGTTGCTGATGGCATCCAGTTAACGGACATTGGGTATCCTGCATAGAAAATTGTTTATAAATACTTATACTTTTATGATGATGGTTGTAGTAGTTCTCCAAGTTTCGGCACCGCACAGTAGGACCCTCTTGACGTTCGTATTGAAGAATCTTTGATATTGGCTAACACTTGTTCCGAGTTCCACGTGTTCTCCAACTACAGGAGTGCGGTCCTTATTTTGCCAATCCTTGTCTTTACATCTGCATCGGATCCTCCTTGTTCATGGATGATGATGCTATTCAGGTACGTGAAAGTTTCCATATCTCACAGAGCTTCTCCATCAAGTGTTATTGGGTTGGTGTTCTCCATGTTGCATCTGAGGATCTTGCCTTTTCCCTTATGTATGTTGAAGTTTACTAATGCATAGACTGCTGTTACATTGGCTGTATTCACCTGCATTTGTCTGCGTGTATAGGATAGAAGGGTCAGGTCATCTGCAAAGTCCAGATCGCCTAGCTCCATCCTAACTGTCCATTGTGTTGTGAATTTATGAGCCGCCTGTTATCACGCAATCTATTCGCCAATCAAAATACGACTTATTCGCCTTTATGCTGTACTAAACCAATAACGTTCGACCCGTCTGATCAGCTTAGCGTCCTATTGGTCCGTTGCTCACCTCGCCCATCCAGCTGAGTCCAGAATGCCAACAACAGCCTCCACTATGCGAATCATTTATTTCAGACATACTGGGTCTACATACCAAACAAACAGACCGCAACGCACCATTAAATAAAAAAATAACATTCGTACAAAATATAGCCAAAAGTTGCTGTTAACGTGGGAGACAGTAAATAATAAACTGAGTATAACTTAAGAACAGTAAATCATACAGTAATAATCTATAGGTCAAAATAAAGCTTATAATAAGGGGAATATAGATATATACAATCTAGTTACTGAATAGTTATACCATAAGAATATATAGATAATATTAGTCCGTTAATAGGTCTCAGACGTTACTTGTAATTCAACTTTCACTAGGATATAACGCATTGTATTCTGTGCTTCCTCTCAGATGTTGCGGTTTTCATAGTCCAATAAACCACCAGAAGGAAGATGAAAGCGAGGGAGTAAGTAGCCTTACTTGACTCCGGTCACTACTTGGAATGCATCTGTCAGCTCTCCTCCATGCACCACTTTGCACTGTAATCCATCGTATGAACTCCGGATGATGTTGATGATTTTCTCAGGTACACTATGGTGTCGGTGAAGGTTCCATCAGGTTCTTTTATCCACACTGTCAAATGCTTCTTCATAGTCAAGGGAGTTGATGAATAGTGGCAAGTTCCATTCAATTCATTGTTCAATAATGATTCAGTCTAAGCGCGACTGGTTCTTACGAAATTCAGTCTGTAGATCTTGAGGTTGGATGTCTACTGAATCTTTCATCCGGTTCAGCAACACTGTTGAAAACGTCTCCTGGTACTGATAGTAGTGTCATGCCTATGTAGTTCTTACACCTCAAATCCCCTTTGTTTGGTATTTTTGTTTCCAGTCAGTCGATATTGTTCTTCCTACCAAACCTTCTTGAATAGAAAGTGAAGCACACTTGCAGTTACTTCTATGTCTGACTCCAGCGGTACTGTCAGGTTCTGCTACTTTTCCACTCTTGATTTGTTTGATGGCCATTCTAATTTTTTCGATCGTTGGTGGAATGATATCTTCAGAAAGGTTTGAGTGTGCTGCCTCGATGTCCGGCGGATTCAATGGAGCTGGTCTATTCAAAAGTTCCTCAAAGTATTATACCCATCTGTTCCTCTGTTCTTGAATCTCCGTCATTATCTTTCCTTCTTTGTCCTTGATCGGTCTCTCTGGTTTACTATATTTCCCTGCTAGTTGCTTCGTCGTGTGATTATTCCTTCTGTTTCAGCTCTTTCCGCTGTTGCTACTAGGATTTTTGGATATGCTCATATCCGGTGTTGGTCATTCCGACTTTTGTGTTTAGACCTCACCATCAGGATGGTGAGGTCCATTCTCGGGCATTTCGATATGATCGATTTCAGCCTCTCATAAAACTGATCTTTGTCGTCATCACTGCTATCAACAATGGATGCATAGCATTGGATAATACTCATTGTGATTCCCTCCTTATTTGTTTTGAAAGATGCTTTGATGATCCTGGGTCCATGAGATTCTCATTCTATAATTGCTTTATGTGCCTTTTTGGACAGCATCAGAGAAGTTCCCTGAGTGTGTGGAACATCTTCGTAACCAAAGTACAGAGGCATCTCTCCCTTTCTATCCAGCTTGGGTCCTATGGGTTTCACTGATTCTGAGTACCATAAATTTATATCTCCTTATTTCCATAACTATTTCATTAGTACTCCTAGTATCCCACATTGTCCGGACATTCCATCTACATATATAGTTATTGTTGCTCTGGTTGTTAGAAGGGGCATTGACCGCGTGACTTCCGAAGAATCTCGGCTTTCATCATGAGGTATCATAATTCTTTCTTCAACTCAGAGGACAGAGTTTAAATAGTTTGATTTGTCTAATCTGGTCAACGTTTTTTTAGAAAGGTTGTTCTCTACGGGATGTGTAAGCTGACCCCATGCCCAACCCTCCTCAATTAACCGGGCCTGGGACTGGCAGTAACTCTAGAAGAGCTACAGGCGGAAACAGACTAGTGGACAAACTATAAATATGCCATTGTTGAATCTACAGACAAGCAAATAATACTTGTGAATTTCAGTCAGTCAGTCAGTAACAACGTGGAACTTCGTACGTACGTACATCAGTTCGAGTTGTCATACCACATTAGCACAGAGATTCAGTTATCGATTCAAATCCCGTAGTGGTAGAGGTAGTGATAGGGAATACTAGGGTTTGATGATGTTATTTAAGGAGTATAGTCCAGTGGAATAGATTTGGAAAGAAAATAAAGGGCATGAAGAATACAGAAGATTAGAGTTTGAGAGAACACAGAGAGTGGATGCACCTGCGCCATTGTAAACGATTTTGAGCCATGTCATTCAAGGTCTCTAACCATCGGTTGCTATCATCTCGCGGTCCCCAACCAGGTAGTCTACACCTACCAACATGGATGAGTCCACTTGTCAGTGACTTCATGGATTTGTGCCATGTCTTCGTCTGGCCGCCCCTAGCTTTCTTCCAACCTACTCCTACACCAGAAAACATCGCACGTCGGGGCAGTCGGTGGTCGGGCATGCGCAGCACATGTCCCAGCCATCTCAACTGATTAAGTATCATTACTTCATCAATTGATTTGCCATCCTTACCTAGTACCCGTTTCCTAACAACTGCATTACTTACTCGGTGGTCCCAGGATATACGAGCAATGTTTCGAAGACACCTATGATCAAATACTAGTAACCTACGAATATCCTCTACTCTTACTGGCCATGTTTCACTGCCATAGAGTAGGACAGAACTAACTGCTGCGCAGTAAACACGTCCTTTGGTTGATAGACGGATATCTCGCTTAAGTCACAAATGACGCAAGTTGGAGAAAGCTAGTCGAGCCTTCTGTATCCTTACTGAGATTTCGTCACACACCAGACCACAAGGGCTGATGAGACTTCCGAGATAAGTGAAGCGGTCGACACGCTCAACTACTTCACTCCCTATCACTAGTTCGGGTGTCGACGCAACCCAATCCTGAAGCAACATTTTGCATTTCTAGGGAGGAAATCTCATGCCGAACATGCCTGCATTGTTGCTTAGAGTGGTCAGCAGACTCTGCATTTTGTCAGCGTCTTCACCAAATAGAACTATGTCATCGGCATATTCTAAGTCAACAAGTGAATCTCCCGGTAGAAGTTCAACTCCTGGAAATTTAGATGAGGAAAGTGTCATCTCTAAAAGGACGTCAACAAGAATGGAGAGAGTGGACAGCCCTGACGAACACCACTTGAGGTAATCAATTCTGATGACCGTTCGCCATAAGATCTCACTCGACCACTTGTTTTCGAGTAGACAGCATTTATAAGGTTAATGTACTTCTTTGGTATTCCTTTCAATGACAAACACTGCCATAGAACCTCACGATCAACAGAGTCAAAATCCGCCTTAAGGTCGAGAAATATGGCTATTGTGGAGCGTCTGAATGTGTGTCTATGTTCTAGGACCTGACGTAGTGTGAATATCTGGTCTATACAACAACGTCCAGGTTGAAAACCGGCCTGGTTTTCTCTAATCTACTCTTCGCGAGCTTTGGTTAGACGTCGAAGTATTATTCAAGCTAATATTTTAGACACTATATTAGTCAAAATAATTCCTCTGTGATTGTCACAGGAGGAATTTTGTCCTTTCTTATAGACTGGCACAATCGGTGATTGAGATCAGTCAGATGGGATTACGTTCAGTTCCCAGGTTCTACCTAAGACCTCAGTCAATCTCGCTGCTAATACTGGACCACCATCCTTAAAAATATCAGGGGTAAACCTGTCAGGGCCTGCTGATCTCCCGCGCTTCAGATTTCCTATAGCTTTTTCAACTTCGTAAAGAGTCGGAAAACTTACATTAACTTGCCATTCAGTTAGATTGGAGATCGTGGGAAACCGAAGTGTGGCTTAAGGCCAGTTGAACTGATCCCTAAAGTGTTCTGCCCATCGATCCGATCTCTTGGATTGAGAATGAATAATACGTCCATCTTTCTCTGCGATTGTTTCGCTAACAGTTGGGTTCCTAATACCGGTTTCCCCATCAAGTCTGAACAGTTGCCTGCTGTTACCTATTGCCGCTGCCTTTTCCATCTCTCTTGCTTTCGCTACCCACCACTGTTCACGATCTTTGCGTAGGCTTCTAGTCAGCTTACGCTTAAGCTGACTCCGCTCTTCGTTATGGAATGAGTTTACGAGCATCTATCAGTGCGGTAGATGCTGCTGAGATCCAGTGTTTCTCCCTAAGCTTATGGTTTACCGTACTTGCAGACAACACTGCTGTTTCTACAGCTTTTCGGATGTCATTCCACGCTGCCTCGGGGTTGGCATCACTTACATGGCTGCCTAACTGTTTTTTTAGTTGTTCTTGAAATATACTCTTAGCTTGATTATCATTGAGTAGGACCTTAAGGGGTTTCCTTGCACCATCTTTCCTACGTCCAGTAAGACGCAGACAAATACGCGCTCGCACTAGAGCATGATCTGAATCTATGCATGTGCTCCAGAATGAGCGACAGTCTTCTATCTAGCCTCTCCATCGGTGGCTGATAGCGACGTGATCTACTTGGGTCCAGCGTTGGGACGAATTAGGGGGTCGCCATGTCAAAAGATGTTTTTCCTTATGCTTAAAGTTAGTGTTTGCAAGAAACAGGCGGTTATCTAAGCACATCTGCAACAGACGGTCGCCATTAACTGTTCTTTGAGCCGCAACACCATAAGATCCACCCAGGTGTCTTTCCTTTTCGCTTCGTTTACCTACTTGAGCATTAAAGTCACCAGCCACTATTACTACATCTGAACGCCTAGCTTTTCGGAGAAGGTCGGAAAGCTTTCTGTGAAACTCATCTTTTACGTTATCTGAGCTGCAGTCAGTGGGAGAGTAGGCAGAGACGACGAAGAGGCAACGACGAGTGCCCCTATCTTTTCGAGTCCTTACTGTTCCGTTTAGTCGGACAGTGCACAAACGACTGTCAACTGGGATCCAGTCTAAGAGGGCTATTTCTACCCTAGGACTCAATGCTATACCTACGCCAGCGAGGCCACGGGAAGCAGCATCAAGGCTTCCAGATACACGAAGCGTAAATCGAGTTGGTTCGTTACTTTGACATGGTGCGGTCAAATGAATGACACTATCAGGATCCTGTGTGCGCATTTCGAAGACGCAGCACACATCGATGGAGCGAGATTCTAAAGTCTTAGCTAATGAAGCCTGTTGTCCTATTTAGCACAGTGTTCGGACGTTGAAAGCTCCTACGTGTAGTTTGGAGCGTGGTTTCAGGAGACCAGGAATAACGTTCCGCGTACTCGAATCGTTCGCACTAGCGGGGCGAGGTGATAAAGGGACGTGAGAAGGGTTAGTCGTGGAAATAAGAGAATTATTAGGAGGTGTAGGAAGGATTTGAATGTGACCAACGTGGTCTCGTGTGTTGTTACGGGTATGAGAGCTGATATCACTTCCCGCTTGCCTACACCGTGGAAGGGTATTTCTTGAGGGACCTGAAAAGGAAATCGGATTAGTGTTGGTCTTAACGAGCTGGGTGCGTGACCGCAGAGCCCAAGGGACAACTGCTTGAGGCCGGTCGCGCACGGCCTTTTTGTGGGAGGTTTTTAATGTTAGCTCCGTTCTTCAAACGGCCTTACCACCGGAGACGGAAATCCGTGGGGTAAGGTGAGGTGTGACATTTTTAGGGTCAACCTTTTCTAACCCCTTCCTTCCTTGTGAGAAGGCAGCATCGCTGTAGATGCTGGTTGTCCGAGGGAAACACCTTACTGCTGTCACACCCCTCTACAGTCAGCAGTACGACTTCGCCCTCAGACCTTGAGTTGCTGCTTTTAGTCTTACCGTTCTCCAATCGACCTGCCTGGCATGGTAGAACCTACAAGAACATGTGTTCCAGCCAATATAGCTCGGTTGGGTCATCACGATAGGCAAGCCCGACCACCACGTCAAGGTAGCAGCTACGGTCGGGACTTGTGAATTTAGTCAATGAATTAGTGAGTTGATTCATATTACTGACACTTGAAATTTACTTTCCCCTAAAATTTATATTTTTTTGTCTGTTGAAAAATTTTAGTCACGAAAGGATTGTGAACACTGAATACATGAAGCTATGGTGAAACCTAATTTTATATATACGAAAATACATACAAAGGAGTTAGACCATAAGGGAATTTCATCAATCGGAAGGAAAAATATTCTCCGTCTTCTTGTCAGTCAAGATGTATAGTTCAATTATTATGTATTGTATCATAAGAAAATCAGATGCAAAAACTAATTTATCTTTATTTTTATTAAACTTCTTTCACACCGTTTGACTGACCGAATGTCAAACAACCCCTTCATATCTGCATTAGTCCATCATAACAGATACACACCTCCCTAAATCAGTAAAGTGATCTCCGTGCATAGTCATTATACTAATTGTTCTTAAACAATGTCAGTACAAATCAGTCCAGAGCTCATTTTAAATTTGACGAGTGTAAAATGTGCAGCACTGAATGTAATTTTTGCCTCGCAGAACTCAGAAAACTGTACACCTTGTCAGCGTCGTCGATTGACAGAACTATGTCTATAGGTTTGAGTAGGAGTTCAGCCTCAAAAAGGCGCAATATAAACTATGATATCGATAAACTCAAAATGTAGGGTGTAACCAAACATCCTTAAGAGTTACCGCCTGTTGTCTCTATCTAAGATGACAATTCTCTGAATCTTTACCCGGCTAGGTGGCGTAAAATTGAATTCTCCAAGGATTACCAGTACCCTGGAGATTACAGGTACACCTTGATAACCAGTCCCGAATACCACGAAACCCAAGTTCAATTTCCTGTCGAAAAACTAATATAACGAACTAAATGATTTTTTGTCATAATATAATGGCTGAAGGATTATTAGGTCCCATAACAACACTTCCTACCAGTCGATTATGGGAGCATATGCAAGATAGTGTGTATAGCATCTGGATTTATACCGAAATTAGTAAGGCAATAACTTAAATTATTTAGCACTTACACTGCACTGTGGTGACAACAAAAAACGACACAGTTAAGTGACATTAAAACAAAAAATGTATCCGTATACTTTATAAGAAGTATTTGTTTCATTTTAAACGAGTTGATAGATAACAATGAGTTGTTTTGTGGATTAGCTTTTAATAGACTAGAACGATTTCGAACACTCTGATTGAAGATCAAAGATGGCTTTTAATTTTTAACCGGCACACTGAATTGTATAAGAAATTGTGTGAATTCCATAGATGAAGACAATTTTCTATTTACGAGACAAGAAATCATGAGATACTTGGCCACATTAGAAAAGGATAAACTAAGCACTTTAGAGTTCTGTGTCTTAAGAGCAGAAGTGGAAACAGTATTATTTCTATTCTACAAAAACAACCATAATGTACAAGAGGGTGCAAAGTTAGAAATATGTGAAGGGCAGTTGAAAATTTAATTTAAAGAATAACTACATATTCGTCAATTCCGGAAAAAAGATGTGCTACTCGTTGAGAGCGTTTAACTATAGTGTCAGTAATAGATGTGACGTCGCGAGAAAGTGTCTCCAATGTTGATTCCAGGGAATCGTTTTGGGACTGAGTAACAAAATCTTTAGAAAACTGTAAACTGGGAGGAATATGTCTAGGAATGTCGGTAAAAAATAGCGAATTGGAAGACTTCTGATATGATGGTGACAGAGTAGGTGAAGTTAAAGTAGCATGTCTGGATATCTGGAAAGGTGAATCCATAGTTTGAACAGTTGGGTTTGAGAAGGAAGGCACATTACTCAATAATGGTGTATTAAGTTGTTCAGGGACATTGGTACCAGTGAGTTCGCTAGGTTGATCACTATGGGATGAACGGATTGCTGGAAGACGATAATCAATAACCCAGTTCAAAGCCTCGCGACCCTAGGTAAATAAAACAAGTTATTATCAATCTAAACGAATCAAATTGTAATATATATATATATATATATATATATATATATATATATCAAATGTCTTCAAAAAAGTGTCAGACAGACATCATAAACATAGGGCCTAGGACAGATTCATGATGGCTCAATTTGCCACACCACATTATCACAACCAAGTGAAAATAACAAAAGAGATAGAGATCATGTACTGTCAATGATATAAAGAACGACTGAATCTTGGGAATGTGGTTCAGAAAGACAGTGAAAAGGTACGTTTGAAGGGATACTGAAATTTAAGAGTGAGAGGAAAACAAGGAATGAATGCATCTGGATCACTGTGAACAATTTGGAGCTATGTGGTCTATGCATCCACGACCAGGTCTGAAGTTAGCTTGATTCTCTCGTGTTTGCAGTTCACGAGTCTTAGTTAGGCGTCCGATAATTATCGAGGCTAGTATTTTAGATACTATATTAGTTAAACTAATCCCTCTATGGTTGTCACAGGATGATTTTGACCCTTTCTCATATATTGGGACGATAAGTGATTGTGACCAGTCAGAGGAAATTATGTCCAACTCAAGATTTTAACTGACTGACTGATTTGGAGTCATGTGATCCAAAGTCTCCAACCACTGACTGGAGTTATCATACGAATCTCAACCAGGTAGTCTGTATCTACCAACATGGCTCAGATCAACAGTCAAGAACCTTAAAGAGTGATAAGATGATTTTTTTGAATGACTCTAGTTTCCTTATAGTCCACTTCCACAGCAGACAACATAGCCCATAGAAGTAAGAAGTGGCCGGGAATGGGTGATACATATCCCAACCACCTTAGCCAATGGAGATCCACCACCTCATCAACCGATTCGCCATATTTACCCAGCATCCTGTGCTTAACCTCAGCACTGCTCACTCAGTGGTCTTAAAATACCAGAATAAATCTTAACAGATACTTGCCACGCATGTTACCTACAAATATCCTCTATTTTTGATTGTCATTTTTCAAACCCATAAAATAGAATAGAGCGGACTGTGGAGAAGCATACACACCATTTGGTTAGCGAATGAACATCTCACCGTCACAAGTGACGTGAGTTGGCAAGCACCAAGCGGGTGTTTTGAATCCATCGGACACCAACCAACCAGGACTGATTAAACTTCCAAAACAACTGTTGGTCGACGCACTTAACTGCTTCATTCCCTATCACTAGATCAAACGTTGACGTAGCCCAGTCCTGAAGCAATGTTTTTCATTTAGAGGAGGAGAAACACATCCCAGACATGCTAGCATTGTTGCTCAAGGAGATCAGAAAACTTTGTATTTTGGTGGGTTGTGACTAATAAAGTTCAAAAGTATCGAGTGTGAGGCAGCTACCCACCGAAAACAACTGATTGAAGTTAAACATATAGACTATCGGGTTCCGGTCCAGTGGTCTAGAGGTTGAGTTGAGCGAGACCGATGGTTGTGGATTCGACCCCTGATGGAGTAGTGATAATACGCAGTTAAGAAACCACATATTAAGACAAAATACCTGTCGAATGACTTCTGGTCTTCAATAGATGTCTAACTTATGTTGGTTCTTTATATCAATAATATGGATTTTGTCAGTGTCTCCACCAAATAAGACTGTCATCTGCATATTCTAAGTCGATAAGCGGACATCCTGGGAGAACAACCCCTGAAAAATTGGGTAGTGTTATTTCTAGAAGAATATTTATTACAAAATTAAGCAAAAACGGGGAATAATGGTGAACCCTGGAGAACACGTAAGGGTGACAGTAAAAAAAAGCAAAAACTTACAATACATTACACCATCTCACATAAAAAACAAATATTTTAATTAATATGACTATTAAGTGTCTAATATTATCAAACATTAATGAAACTTGATAACCAAGAGGATGTTTTATACTAGGTTTTCAATAATGCCAGTGGAACGGTTAGAGTTAACAATTACATGCCGAAGTTCAACCAGGTAGATTAATAATTCATTTTGTATTTAAATAACTTGATTTCGTTTCCTAAATTATTAAACAATAGTTAAGGTTAAGAATAATACAAAATTTATGGGATCTGTTGTCTAATATCGATGACGTCTTTTTTGTTCCGCAGAATTCATCAAAGATTGACCAGACGAAATACATGCAAATGGTGTTTTTAGGATAACTGTATGTGCAATAACATCACTTTTAGCAATTGTTAAATGTCCATAAATTCATTTTGCTGTAGTTTACAAAGGTAAAAAGTACAGAATGAAGTGACAAAACGATGACTGAAGTGCTTATTTTACTTGTATTGAAATTTAAATATGTGGCATATCTCAGTATGACATAAAAATTGAACAAACAACGTCAAAGTTTCAGAACGTACCTGATGTGCATTTTGTTTACTCATACTTACAGCTGACATTGCGATAAGTGAGAACGCCTTGACTGAAATTGAATGCTCCAGAACAGTCCTGTAAAACAAATAAAGCTGATAGTTATGGTCAAAGATGCGGATTTGTTAATGATATACTAAATCATTTTAATGGTCAGATATGAGTAGCGTGGAACATAAATCAGGAACGCGTTAAGTGAAAGAGAGTATGACAAATGGGTATTGTTTATCAGCATACTGGATGTAAGTTTTGATCACATATAAGTATAATGGAGGAACAAATTTAAAGAAATCAAATGTTGTTTGCCAGTAACACCAGATGGGAACATCTGTTGGGGTTAAGTTCATATAATCTTAGAAAATATTGAAAGTTCGAGTTGCCATACCACATTAGCACAGGGATTCAGTTATCGATTCAAATCCCGTAGTGGTAGAGGTAGTGATAGGGAATACTAGGGTTTGATGATGTTATTTAAGGAGTATAGTCCAGTGGAATAGATTTGGAAAGAAAATAAAGGGCATGAAGAATACAGAAGATTAGAGTTTGAGAGAACACAGAGAGTGGATGCACCTGCGCCATTGTAAACGATTTTGAGCCATGTCATTCAAGGTCTCTAACCATCGGTTGCTATCATCTCGCGGTCCCCAACCAGGTAGTCTACACCTACCAACATGGATGAGTCCACTTGTCAGTGACTTCATGGATTTGTGCCATGTCTTCGTCTGGCCGCCCCTAGCTTTCTTCCAACCTACTCCTACACCAGAAAACATCGCACGTCGGGGCAGTCGGTGGTCG